GTAAATGGGTATATAAGATTAAATATAAAGCTGATGGGTCCATAGAAAGGTATAAAGCAAGATTAGTTGCTAAAGGCTACACACAAGAAGAGGGAATTGACTATTTTGACACCTTTTCCCCTGTAGCTAAAATCTCTACTGTTAGATTTCTTATTGCTCTTTCTGCAATTAAAAATTGGCATGTTCACCAACTTGATGTCAACAATGCATTTTTACATGGTGACTTAGATGAGGATGTTTACATGATTCCTCCCCCTGGCTATTTGTCTTCTTCAGATCAAAGAGTTTGTAAACTTGTTAAAAGTCTTTATGGCCTTAAACAAGCCTCAAGACAATGGTTTCAAAAGCTCACTTCTTGTTTGATTGCATATGGTTTTAAACAGTCAGTTGCTGATTGCTCTTTGTTCACTTTAACTGATAATTCTGATTTTATTGCCTTATTAGTTTATGTGGATGATATTATTGTGGCTGGTAATAACATTGATAAAATTCATGCAATCAAACAACATTTAGATTCCTGTTTTACCATTAAAGACTTGGGCACTTTAAAATATATTCTTGGCCTTGAATTTGCTCATTCTGAGAAGGGTATCAATATGTGTCAAAGGAAATATGCCTTAGACATCTTAGAGGATACAGGTTTTCTTGATTGCAAACCATCTCATACACCCATGGACCCAACTCAGAAATTTAAAAATGCTGATGCCTCTGATACATTAACAGATGCCTCTGAGTATAGAAGGCTAATTGGCAGACTTTTATACTTAACTATATCTAGGCCAGATATTGCTTATAGTGTACAAACTTTAAGTCAATATGTTGCTAACCCTTCCTCTCAGCATCTTCAAGCAGCTCACAGAATCTTGAGGTATATTAAAGGTACAGTTGGTAAGGGCATACTTTTCTCTAGAAATGCAGATATTTCATTAACTGCCTATTCTGATAGTGATTGGGCTAGCTGTTTAGATACCAGGAAAAGTGTAACAGGCTATGCTGTTTTTCTTGGAAAATCACTTATTTCCTGGAAATCTAAAAAGCAACCCACCATTAGCAGAAGTTCTGCTGAAGCAGAATACAGGGCCCTTGCCTCTACTGCTTGTGAGGTACAGTGGCTTCTGTATCTGTTTCAGGATTTTAATCTCACCCATGGTTGCCCACTTTCTATTTTTTCAGACAGCAAACCAGCCTTGGCCATTGCCACCAATCCTGTCTTTCATGAAAGGACAAAACACATCCAACTTGATTGCCACCTTATAAGGGAGAAGATAGCTCATCATTTGATCTCTGTCCATTATATTCCTACTAAGGAACAACCAGCAGACCTTCTCACAAAGGCATTACCCAGAGCACAGTTTGAGTTTCTTCAGTCCAAGCTGCACTTGCACAATGTGCATGCTCAGCTTGCGGGGGGATGTTAAAGATACATTTCACATGTAATTCATAGTATATGAAGTATTTTTATATTAATTGTTATTTCATTTACAGTTAAAGTTGCTAGTATAAAGCAACTTTTACCTTTTAGGTTTAGGATTATGAGTAGGTATAAATAC